GCATTCTGGGATATATCTGTCTCTTATGAGGCCTTTCTTTTCTTCTCATACACTTCGTTGACACTTTTTCTCTTCCGACCCTCGGCCATTTTCAAAGATTGTGGTGAGAAAGATGAGCTTCAATGACTGCCTGAAACCGTAGCTCACCACAGATATACGCCTGAAAGTGCTCAGAAAAAGATGGCTAACGGGACAAGCATGTAGGGCGGCCTTAAGTAGACATTCCTCCAGAATGATTGACAGTTAGGAGGACCAATGATGGAGATGATCCACCTGGAAATAAAATATCTTGTGCGCGTTCATTACTGCATGTTTTTTCTCCTCTGAATCAAATAATATTGAAGGAAGTCGGAGCGGAGCAAAACGGGAGGAACCGCAGAGGCTGTAGGCTTGGCTTTGCGCAGGCGGTCTGGAACAGGCCGAAGCGGTTGCGGGGGATGTGGAATGAGTCCTGACTGCCGGGCCTTCGTCAGCTCGTTGTACGTGACAGCTACTTTTTGTTGATCTTAATACCCTGAAGTTTGTAGCAAACATTATGTCTTTATCCGCTACAGATGTTAATAAAAAAAATACAGAAGACATGACTTCAATGTCCTCAGGTGTCTCTACAGCCATTTTTTTCTGTTCCTTTTTGAAAACCAGAATTTGGGGCGTTGCATTTTTCACCTGCGGAATTTTTTTTCAACCCTGCTCCTTATCTATACATTTAACCCGTCCCCTTTGGGAGCGGTGGGCTTTCATTGTACATTGCCCGGGGAACAGTGTGGGGTTAGGGGTCTTGACAAGGACCTAGATGGGCAGGCTGTGGGGATCGAACCGGGTACTTGCAACTTTCTCAGAGCATGGTGCACTGCTCCTGCCTCTCTGTGTCTGTGAGGTTGGTCTTTTCTTCAGTGGCTGAAAAGTTCATCCTGTTTTCCAATGGAAGATTATTAAACTAGACTGACTAAAACTGGAACTATATCAGGAGGCTAAACTAGAGCAAACAAGGAATAAAAATAAAAACATTATATGAAGAGTAAACAAACCATTTGGTTTGATCGTAAAACGCCTCATTGATAAACTAGCTGCTGTATATTTTATTCATATTTAATAAAGTACAAGATTGTTTAAAATCTTCATTAATATACAAAGTGATTTATCTTAGTCTAGATGGTATTAGATAAAAATCCAATGACATGCCTCCTAATAACTGCTCAGAAATCATTCATCCATCCATCCATCCATCTTTTTCCGCTTATCTGGGGTTGGGTCGCGGGGGTAGCAGCTTCAGTAGGGAGGCTTAGATGTCCCTCTCCCCAGCCACTTGGGCTAGCTCCTCCGGGGGAATCCAAAGGCGCTCCCAGGCCATCAGAGAAACATAGTCCCTCCAGCGTGTCCTGGGTCTCCCCCTGGGCCTCCTCCTGGTGGGATGTGCCTGGAACACCTCACTAGGGAGACGTCCAGGAGGCATCCTAATCAGATGCCCAAGTAACTGGCTCCTGTCGATGTGGAGGAGCAGCGGCTCTACTCTGAGTCCTCTCTGAATCCTCCCTGGATGACTGAGCTCCTAACCCTATCTCTAAGGGAGAGCCCAGACACACTACGAAGAAAACTAATTTCAGCCGATTGTATCCGGATCATGTTCTTTCGGTCATGACCCAAAGCTCATGACCTTAGATGAGGGTAGGAATGTAGATTGAGCGGTAAATCGAGAGCTCTGCTTTTTGCCTCAGCTCTCTCTTCACCACCACAGACCGGTACAGTGCACGCTTCACAGCAGACGCCGCACCAATCTGCCTATCAATATCCTGCTCCATCTTCCCATCATTCGTGAACAAGACCCCAAGATACTTAATCCTGGTCTTTTTTAAGAGCTGGCTCTTTCAGCTTGGCTGCTGTCAGCACAGTGAATAGGTGGGCTGGTGCTAAAATACGGACAAGAATTAACCTGACATCTCCTAGCATTGACCTGGCATCTCCTCGGATTGACCTGGCATCTCCTAGAATTAACCTGGCATGTCCTCGGATTAACCTGGCATGTCCTCTGATTGACCTGGCACGTCCTCGGATTAACCTGGCATGTCCTCTGATTGACCTGGCACGTCCTCGGATTGACCTGGCATGTCCTCGAATTGACCTGGCATGTCATCGGATTGACCTGGCATGTCCTCTGATTGACCTGGCATGTCCTCGGATTAACCTGGCATGTCCTCTGATTGACCTGGCATGTCCTCGGATTGACCTGGCACGTCATCGGATTAACCTGGCATGTCCTCTGATTGACCTGGCACGTCCTCTGATTGACCTGGCACGTCCT